GGTCTCCCAAAGTGCTGGGATTACAGGCATGAGCCACTGCACCTGGCGAGAACTTTGTTTTCTATATGAGATTCATTATTATCTGTTCTTTCAAACTTTTTGTATGTTTGTTTTCTTGCTTGTATATTTTCGTTTTACCTACAACTTATTAATTAACATCTTGTTGTGGCCAGGCGCAGTGACTGATGCCTGTAATCCCAGCACTTTGGGAGACTCGCTTGAGTCCAGGAGGTTGAGACCAGCCTGGGCAATATAGGGAAACCCCATCTCTACCAAAAATACAAAAATTAGCTGGATGTGTTGGTGCACACCTGTAGTCCCAGCTATTCAGGTGGCTAAGGTGGGAGAATCCCTTGAGCCTGGGAGGTTGAGGCTATAATGAGCCATGATTGTACCACTGCACTCCAGCCTGGGTGACAGATTAAGACCCTGTCTCAAAAAACAAAAAATCTTGTTGCATGTTCCAAGTGTCACTCTCTCATTCTTGTTTTTTTCTCTCTCTCCACACATGCACACACACGCACGCGCACACACACATTTTTAAAGACAAAATAGGCATTAAACTGTACGTACTGTTCTGTCATGTGTTCTCTTGTGCTAAGTTAGTTTTAATTGTCAATTTAATTTTTCTTTCCTAGGTGAACTGTTGGAAGGAAGTGCTTTTAGATTCCTAATATAATGTATATTTCCCCACACAGCATGGTGTTTCACAAGAGGACTTTCTACGGAGGAACCGAGATAAAAACGTGAGAGATGTAATATATGACATTGCCAGTCAGGCACATTTGCACCTAAAGCATGTAAGTCGGCTTTTTTTTTTTTTTTTCTTTTTTTGCCAAATCATTTAGGGAATAATCATATCTAGAAATGGCTATTCTTAGAACATGGTTATGGTATTCCTAACTTGGCCGTCTTTATTCCAGTTTTCATTGGTTTCCCAGTAGATTTATCTCAGAGTCTGTTGTAAACTTTTCTCACTTAAAAAAGTCCCTTCCCCCACCTCACAGCATATGAATGCGTTCTTTACTGAGTAAATCAAGCCCGAGCTTTCTCATGTGGGCTCCTCTGTGCTCCATCCACTTCTCTCTTGGAAGACAGGGTGTCTTTCTGCCTCCCAAGGCCGAAGCCTCTCCTCCTGCTTCCAGGGGCTGCACCCTCAGCCACTCCCAGCTGGTGTTTTCAGTTTGCTTCTCTGATAGGTGGCCTCTTTTATCTTCTGGTTTGTTGCTGCTGCCTTCTGAATTTACAGGCAGCCTGTAGATCCTTCTGTTGGTATTTTTCTCTCCTAGGTGAACTGTTGGAAGGAAGTGGTCCGCATTCACTTGGCACTGCCCATCATGCTGTGATTTGGTTCCTATCCTGCCCATTCTAATAAACAATCACAAGTTTGGCAACTCTCCTTATTGCCAAATTCAATGGTCACTTACAATTTGTTTTTGTGAACTCCTCTTCTTTTTTTGACACCATAGACTTCTTTTTCTCTGTGTCACTTTCTGACTTTTCTTCCATTGATTCTCGGACTTGGCTCCTGGACTGGTTCCTGATTTCTCCTGCCTGTCACTTTAGTTGTTCCCTAAGAGTTAGTTCTTCATCTCTCAAACTTTTCCAGGACTTTTGTTTGGAATTTGACACTGTTGACTGTGCTCCTCTTTCTTGAAATTGTCTGTCATTCATCTCCATGGTGTTGTTCCTTTCTGGTTCTCCTTGAAGTGTTTCTTGATTTCAGTGGCTCTTGAAGACTTGGTGGAAACTTTCTATTTCCTTAGCTCCCATAATGCTAATTTTTCCTAGTACTTCTTGTGAACCTTTTTTTTTTTTTTCTTAGGCTTCAGTAGATTCTAAAGAGTTGGACACGTACCTGCATACCACAGGGCTTTTGCACTTGCTGTTTTTCCTGCTTCTTCCCCTGTACCCCACCTCCACTCCAGTTAGTGCTCAAATGTCACCCTATCAGAAAAGTCTTCCCTGGCCATCTTACCTAAAATAACATCTTCCTTTTCCATCACCCTCAGTCTCCTTACCTGGCTTAGCGCTTTTCACTACCTGACATTAAAAGTTTGCTTATTGCCACCCACTTCATTGGAATGTAAGTGATTTTGTTTGATTCTATTGTATATTCTTCAGCATCTAAAGTACCTGGTACATTATGAGCACTCAGTAAATATTTGTGAAATATTAAATATGTAAGTAATCAGATTGTAAGCTCTTTGAGGGCAAAGACTATCTTCAGCTTCTTGTTAATTTCATGATTTCATGAATATCTAAGACAGTTCTCAGCCCTGACAGAGGTATAGATAAAATACATGGAACTTTAGATGAGAAATTACTTAGGACTAACTAGCAGAGTTTTGGGTAAGATCTGAGCACACTGCAGAATCATGAAAGGCAGGAAAGCTTTGTGTGGAACCTGAGCAGTCCCAGTCAATGGACACATAAGGCACCTGAGAAATACCGATTCCCAGGCATCACTCCCTGGAGATTGGGGTAGTAAATCTGGGATGGGGCCAGGAATTAAAATTTCTAAATTTCTAATTAAACAGCCAGGTTTGAACACCACTGGTGTATAGGTTATGTGAAATGTGGTCCTGGAAGATAGGTTTGGAATGGCGGATTGAAGAAAGATTATGGAGTTGTAGAGGCTTTTGAGAGACATTAGAGTATTGTGGATGAGAGTACAAACTCTGGAACCAGAAGCCTGACTTTAAATCCTAATTCTGCCATTTACTAATCATGTAATCTTAACCTCTTTGTGCTTCAGTTTCCTCATCTGTAGTAGAGGATCATTTTAGCACCCAGCTTAAAAGGTTATTTGGATAAATGAGTTAACATATATGAAGAGTTTATAACGTAGTGCGGCATATTGTACATGAAATATGTTAGTTTTCAGCATCATCATCATCAAATAACGCAGTGATATTAGTGTTGCGGAGTAGGAAACCCTGCTAGCAGTGTTTGACACAAGAGAGTTTAGAAGTTGGGTGATCAGTTAGGAGACTTAGGAGAGAGAGAAAGAGTATGATTTAGAGACAGTAGATGTTTATGTATGTGTATGTACATTTATATATATATGTATACATATGTGCCCACACATAACAAGTAGAATCAACTAGGCTTGATAACTAATTGGATTGTGGCAAGATCAGATAGAGGGAAAGTTGAAGGTTGCATGAAGAATTCAAGTATGGCACTTTGATGGTGCCATTCAAAAGCTACAATGACAGCAGAAACTAATGCTATGTTTGGTGTGGATCATTAGACTTTGGACTAGCTGCTGGACATAATTGAATTTGAGGGGATTAGAGAGAGATGGGCTATTGAAGAATGCAGGATTGTGACTTTTAAAGGAAGTCAGGACTAAAGATGATATATTTGAGAGTCATCCACATAAAAGGCTTATAATTAAAGCTCCAAGTTTGGATGGTGTTGCTGAAAAAGAATGTACAGAGGACCAGGGACAGAACCCCGAGGCCTACCTCTGTTTACAAGGTGAAGGAGAAAGGCCATTTATTAGGAAGAAGGGGAAGGAAAGAATGTTCAGAGAAATAGAACTGAGAGCCAGTGTCTTGAAAATCAAGGGAGAAGATTTAAGAAAGGGGAATATCAGAGTTTTATATGCTGCAGAGAGATTGAAGAGAAAAGATAGATATGGTGATTAGTAAATCATGGATGATCATCGAGTAATTTTAGAGAATGGTTGGGGGTCAAACTGGAGTGTAATGGGTTAAGAAGTGAGTCAGGAAGTAGAGGGCTCTTCCTGGTGTTAGGGAAAATATAAATGAAGACATGGAGACAAGAGTGGGCTTGGCGAATACAGGATGATGGGCATCAGCCTGAGTGACCAGGTGTTCATAGCCCAGAGTGATAGGGAGTTAGGTTAGATGGACGAGGTTAGAGTCAAGATGTGGAGGCCTTTGAATTCCTGGATGAATTGTTGAAACGACCTATCAGGGAATTAAAGAAGGTAAAAATGAAATGATGATGTAAGGACATTAATTTGTCTGGCTGCGTGGAACGAATTAAAGGTCAGGGAACACAGGGAGATCACCTAGGAGGATCTTACTCATTTAAACAGGAGATAAAGTCAGTCTAAGCTAGGGGTGCACAGGACTTGGTAATGCAAGTATTTCTTCATTTCCCACTTACCACAGAGCTGGGGAGTCAAAGTTATTATGAGATATTGTAAGATAGCTGGAAGATGGTAAAGCTAAGAAGGATGCTAGAGCTAAGAAAGGATGGAATTTTTACTACAGTAGTTACTTTTTTCTGAGTCCTTTAGGCTTAGGAAACTAATCTTAATCTACAGGAGATGAGCTGTTTTCTTGCATTTTAGAGAGGCCCTATCAATATTGTTAAACTGCTGGTGTTGCTTTCAGAGCAAGAGTGTTTATTTGCTTAATTTTGACCAGCTTCCTTTCCTCTTCCTTTTTAGGCTAGGTCCTTTCACAAAAGTGTTCCTGTGAAAGCATTTCCTGCTTTTCTTCAGACGGTAAGTAGATTAACAGAGAAGGCTGTATAATTAATGAAGCAGATGTGTATGATCTGTTTTTATATTTTATAAAGTTCCCAATGCACTTCTTTAGTTTGGAGCCTTTGTTTTTATTTCCCTCCCTCATGGTGGCTTTCATTAGTTATTGATGCTTTTGCTGAGGGTCATTTCTGTATTTCTCAGAGGCAGGTGAGCTGAGTTTTTAGCACTGACTTTGCAGCCAGATTGCATTGGCTTGAATCTGTTTTGCCCCTTACTAGCAATGAGACCTTAAGTTCCTTAATAACCACATTCTTCAGTTTACTCTTAGGTGAAATGGGAATAATAGGAGAAACTACCTTGTAGGATTGTTAGGCTGCTTATAGCTATATAAGTATTACTTACTCTTCTGTTCATTTTTTTCTCCATTGTGACCTGACCATATGGTAGCAGTGGTTTCAGAACAGTGGTTCATAGCCCACTGTGGAGCTGGTTGCAGTGGGGTAACCTGGAAAACTTTTTAAAAATATAGATTCCTGGAGTCTTCTTACTAAGTAAGACTTTTGGGATTGAGGAGGAAGCCAGTTCCTAGGAGAATCTGTGATTTTAAGAAGTTCCTTTGTAAGTCTCTAAGGACTTGCTTTATGAATCTGGGTGCTCCTGTATTGGGTGCATATATATTTAGGATAGTTAGCTCTTCCTGTTGAATTG